ATAGATAAATAAGTATTGATATGCTTCTCCCGAGGTATGAATAACTTTGATATTGAAAAATGGCCATAAGACATGCTCTATCTTACCTCTGTGTAAGGGTTTTCTGTATTATGGCTTATAGAAACAGAAGACAAACTGTCACTTGGTTGACCATCATCAGAAGTTGATACGGTAGACTTGTTATTTGATTTTTTTTCTATGAAGCAGACAACAAAATCCTTCTACAAAAAACAAAAAACAAAAAAAAAAAAAGTGATCAAACGTTAAAACATATATAAAATGAGATGTGTAAAATTAATGCAGCCTTTCATTAATTTCAATTATACAGAACATATAGCTCAAACAATGAACAGGCAAGTTAAAAAAACAAAAATAGAACAAAGAAGCACACCTTATAACGAGGGTTGTTCTCATCCTTAACATAGAACTCGTGCATAACCCAGTCAGTCTTGTCTTCCTTAGAAGTAGCACCAACACCAAGTCTATAAAAAACCAAATTCTTTTTACTGCCGATGACTTGGCCACTTTTATTCTTGACATCACAACCTCTCCCAGTTATTTTCCAGTATCCCCCATCGGTTCGTCGGCTGGCACGTTTACTCTTCGCATACTTATAGTAAGGTTCACAGAAAAAGTACCATCCTTGTTCATCGGAGTCACTTTCTGAAAGCCCTGCATCATATTTCAATTCCCATCAGTGATCAGAAACCATTGAAATTAAAATTGAAAGCTTGAAGAAAATCCCACTTACCAGGCAAGGCAGAAGGATCGAACTTGTAGATGTCAACCTCATTAATGTCGGGGTCAGAGAAATCGGGGTGAATCCTCTTCTCCTCCAGAAGACTGATGATTTTCACATGAAAAAGGTAGTACATGAGTCCCACAAGACATCCCATCTGTAATTGATTCGGCACAAATAGTAACGAGGAGTGGAAGTGTTTGAGAACAAGAAGAAGGTATGTGTGATTTGATCGGAACGGTTTGCTTGGAAGCAAGAGGCTGAAGCTGAAAGCGTGAAGGAAAGCTCTTATCAATATTTTTTATATTCGCAAAAGCGGTAGTGTTGAGGGAGAGTGAGTGTTGCGTATAAACGCGTTGAGAATCTTCAAACGACGTGCAGTAGAATACTGTATCGTTAGTTCTTGGTTGTAGAAGATGATGACGTGTTTATTATTACGTCGTGTCCATTTTAATTAGAAAATAAAATAAATGTCCATTTGAACAAGTTAAGCATGAAAAGAATTTGAAGATTAATTGATAAATTCTTATTTTAATACACGGGACCGTTAAGTAATGGTTGACGTCGTATCACAGTGTACGGAAATCCTTCCTTTGCAAGTCGTCTAGTCTTTTTAGGCCCCACCATCTCCTTCTTCTAACTTCTAAGCTCCTCCTTCTAATAGTTTTTCACGCAATGATGATTTGATTTAAGTTTTGATTGATTTTAATTTAAGTTAGATCTAATTAAAATTATAAAAATTTATATTGTAATCTTTAGAAGAAAAAAAAATTAAAAGAAGGTTTTACTCAAAATTTACTTAACATATTTACTCAAACTTTTGTTTCTTATAAATTTATTCATGTATGAAAGTATTGTGTTATTGCATTCTTTTCTTTCAAGCTTTTAATATTGTATTATTATTATTATTTTTTTTTTTTACTTAAGGTTTAGTGATTTTTTAAAATTTTTACTAATTGTTTGACAAATAATGGCAGAGCCGCAAAGACCTCTCTCGACAAAAATCTTGGGTTCGCCGCTTAACCCAAACCCAATGTTTCAAGGTAACTCTTCAAATCTAATGTTTTAAGATAAGTCACAGTCACAAATGTGATAAGTGGTCAAGTTTGAACCCAAACCCAATGTTTCAAGATAAGTTATAAATGTAATAGGTGGCCAGATTCAAACACAGACCTAATATTTCAAGGTAAATCACAAATGTGATAGGTAACTCTAAGTAAGCTTTGAACCCAAAAAGTTAATAAAGAAAAAAAACCTTCTTGACCGTCAGACCAACCCGATTATTCTTTGCATCTTCCTTCTCCTTTCACATGGCCATCTTCAAAAGATGTTATATTATTTTTATTTTTCTTATATATCATTTCAATTTTAAGTTGTATAATAGAATTCTTACAGTAAATATATGTTGAGGCTTCAAATGATTCTTTTAGACACGTAATAAAGTTGTAGGATTTAAATTTTAGTTGATATTCATCTTTACACTTCTTTAATTTAAACAGGCATTCATATCCATTAAGCATGCTCCAACTATCTGGAACTCATCTCATGTACCTATTTAGGGGTGTTAATGAGCTAAGCCGAGCCGAGCCGAGTTTTGGGCTTAACGAGCTTGGCTCGTGAGAGAGGATTATTAATCGAGCCTCGCCTCAGATTTTATGGCTCGACTTGGCTAGGGAAAGAGTTGGGAATATTTCGAGCCGGCTCGTGAGCCAACTCTCAAAAATTCAATTTTTTTAAGTAAAAATCAATTTTTTTTTTTTTTTTTTTCTAGCCACTGCCACTCTTCTAGGCTCTAGCCACTTCATGCACTTCCTTTTCAGCCCAAAACCCCTTGTGAATCTAATTGGAAATGCCAAGCAATTATTTTTAATGGATGTTTCCTTCTGTTGTAAAACAATGCTCTTTCGCAATTGCGATACAACAAGACTGCAAGTGATCATCCCAGAATAGAAGTTTCAAGCCAAGACGATCATCAGGGAGATGGACCATAGAAAATAAACCAAGAATCGTGGCCAAGCGTCGGCGAGACTTCAATGGGTCTAACAGCAGAATGACAGCATTCCTTATATGAATTTGTTTTCATGCGTGGAATTTTGGGCAGAGAATGAAACATTTTGAAGGATTCTTTAATTTCAATCAGAATACATTAAAATGCAGATGCTCAAAAGCAGTATTGAATGGACTGATTCAACACAAGCACATTAGATTCAATACCAATTCTTCCAGTACAATATAATAGATATAACTGTTACCAATACCCTTATAAAATGAAACTCAAGTTTCTGGACACAACAAAGGAATCATAAAAACATGAAAATCATTTGCACCGGTTTCGATTTCTTAATGCCTTCGGAGAGCCAAAGCTGACAACACCACCATTACCACAAAGAGCACAACAGTAATGAAAGATTCCACCACAGCCCCACTGACTTTCTGGCAGAAATCACCAAATTGCTGACAAATAGCTAGCTAGTTGGTGTTTGGATTTCCATTGTGTGCCAAATAAACGATGACAGCTCTGTGACGCAAATCCAATGAAGAACACGTGGTTCACGACGAAGAGTTGACAACGACAGCTCTGCGATGCAAATGCGATGAAGAAGATGTGGTTCACGACGAAGAGTTGATTGCGACTAGGAGGTGTGCTGGTGCTGCCGACAAACTGTGTTGGGGATCGATGAAATTTAGGGATTACGACAAAGAGTTACGGCAAATGAGAAAGTGTCGTGGTTTTAGGGATTAAAAAATCAAGGGGGGGGGGGATTTTGTCATTTTTTAAAACTTTTGCTGTTAAATTTTCATGTTAATCCCCTATACTTCAAAAAACTCCAAAAAACGCCCCGTTTTTTCAACCGAGCCTAACGAGCTGAGCCAAGCATGGCTCAAACTCGGCTCGTTCTGTCTCATGAACCGAGTCGAGTCGGCTCGTGATCTGACGAGCCGAGCCGTTAACGAGCCAGACTCGACTCGGCTCGTTAAGCACCCCTAAATAACCCATTCTACAATTAATTTATTAAATATAGAAATTCAATATTTTTAAACAAGAAGGCCAAGAAACATAGGAGCCATTATTCTCAAACGATTACACAACATTGAGTAAACCATTCTTCAAATGTCTACAATAATATAATAATATTCTCCCGCAGTATTTAATTGGGATAAAGAGGACTGTACACAGATTGCTCATCCATGAAAGCCTTGATGTTTTCAGTGTCCCTATCAGTAGGAAGAGTCTTGTCCAGTTGCTTCTCCAGGATGTTTATCCTGGAAACTCCTTTGTGCAATCCGGCCATCTTCAAGCCCTCCATGAAACTGAGAGCTCCACAAAGTACAGTTATTACCAAAGGCGCCGTTTGAGTCCAAGGAGGAATAGGATCCTTGTTGTGGATTAATTGGCCACTGTGGTGCGGACACTGAGCTGTGATCCAGCAAATAACGCACAAATAGTGCAGCGAATTGCGCAAATAATTCTGCAACTTGTTGAGGATGTACCTGAAATACGAAAGAGGAGACAAAGCAAGCATTATTTGTGTAAATAAGTTTTAGTTTTTATATATGCACCATTAATATGTGTAGCATGATACTAAATCTACAATAACGCATGCTTATCCTCACCATTAAACAAGCATTTGGCACAAAATGATTTCTTGGATCAGAAAAGAAATTGTGATTTGATAGTAGCTGATCATGTGCTGCCTGGAATAAGAATATAGATGAACAAGTATTTTAGTTGTGTAAATATATTAAGTTAATACTAAAAACTATCACAAGGGAGCATGTTCATCGTCATAGCATGGAAGAAGTATTTGGCACAAAATGATATCTTGAATAATCAGAAACCAAATTCTGATTTGATAGTAGTTGAGATTCTTCCTGCTGTAAATCTGTTATTCATGCATTACATCCATATATAAGTTGATTTAAAAGCTAGTATGAGTCATATGCATGCTCACCATTGAAGAAGTACATGGTGCAGAATGATTCGTTGGATCAAAGACCATATTGTGATTATATAGTAATTGATGAGGTCCCACCTGTTGAAGTAAAAATTATAAACAAACAAGCATTAGTTGCTTGAATATATTTTATATGCACAATTATAAGTTAATACTGAAAACAACCAACATATTCATCCTCACCATTAAAGAATCCAAATTTTGATGTGGTAGTAGCTGAGGCTGAAGAAAAAATCATATAAGTACAAACAAGCATTAGATTTATATGTGACAATATTTTCATGTACCATATATATGTATATGCTCATACTAAACAAAAATTTTAAAGCACATGTTTATCCTTACCATTGAAGAAGTATTTGGCACAAAATGAGTTCTTGGATCAAATTCCATGTTGTGATTTGATAGTAGTTGAGGTTGTACCTAAAGTAAAGAATCATAGACAAACAAGTTTTACTTGTGTGAATACGTTCATCACAATTGAGACTGAAAAAAACCATAAGCCATGTGCATCCTCACCATTGAGAAGTAATTGGCAGAAAATGATTTCTTGGCAATTTCATATCATGATTTGATAATAGTTGAGGTTGTACCAAAGTAAAGAATCATAACAAACAAGTATTACTTTTGTGAATACGTTTTCATGCATAAGTTGATACCAGAAGCAATCCATAAGGCATATGCATCCTCACCATTGAAGAAGTAATTGGTGCAAAATGATTTCTTGGATCAGTTCCATATTGGATTTAATAGTAATTGAGGTTGTACCTAAAGTAAAGAATCATAAACAAACAAGTATTATTTGTGTGAATACGTTTTCATGCATAAGTTGATACCAGAAGCGACCATAAGCATCCTCACCATTGAAGAAGTAATTGGTGCAAAATGATTTCTTGGATCAAGTTCCATATTGTGATTTGATGGTAGTTGAGGTTGTACCTAAAGTAAAGAATCATAAACAAACAAGTCTTACTTGTGTGAATACGTTTTCATCCATAAGTTGATACCAGAAGCAACCATAAGCATCCTCACCATTGAAGAAGTAATTGGTGCAAAATGATTTCTTGGATCAAGTTCCATATTGTGATTTGATAGTAGTTGAGGTTGTATCTGAAGTAAAGAATCATAAACAAACAAGTATTACTTGTGTGAATACGTTTTCATGCATAAGTTGATACCAGAAGCAACGTCCATAAGGTATATGCATCCTCACCATTGAAGAAGTAATTGGTGCAAAATGATTTCTGGATCAAGTTCCTATTGTGTTTGTAGTAGTTGGGTTGTACCTAAAGTAAAGAATCATAAACTAACAAGTATTACTTGTGTGAAATGTTTTCATGCATAAGTTGCTACCAGAAGCAACCATAAGCCATCCTCACCATTGAAGAGGTAATTGATGCAAAATGATTTCTTTGATCAAGTTCCATATTGTAATCTGATAGTAGTTGAGGTTGTACCTAAAGAAAAAATCATAGACCAAAAGTATTATTGTGTGAATACAGTTTTTGATGACAGAACGCATAAGTTGATACTAAAAGCAGCATAAGCCATGCGCATCCTTACCATTGAAGATGTAATTGGTGCAAAAGGATTTCTTTGTACCTGAAGCAAAAATCATAGATAAACAAGTATTAGATCTTGTATACTTTCCTCCTGCATTATGTATTACTTGATGTTGAAAAGTTTCTGAGACACATGCTCTATCTCACCCCTGTAGAAGTTTTTTCTGCATAGGTTTCAGCATCAGAAGCCAAACGGTGACTCGGGTGACCCTCATCGGGAGTTGAAGTATTAGGCTTGCCCGTTGGATTTTTTTCTACGTAGCGGAAAACAAAATCCTTCTGCAAAACAAATGATAAAAGTGAAATGTGTTGGATCGTCTAGAATGCTTTAGTACACTCACCAAAGGAGAAAACAGAACAAAAAACCTAATTCATCATATAACTTGTATCCAGACTCACGTCTGTGAGTAATTTTCAATATAGTGGTTTCCACGAGAACATAGCTCAATTTTTTTACCAAATTTCCACGGATATTGATCACTACTGTTATAAAAATTAAAGTAGACACAAATATAGTTTTTATCAAGCTCATCCATCATCATTTCAATCTTCAACCAGTAATACAAAAAACAGAGTCTATGAAAACCAGTAGATGAAGATTTATGTTCAATAGATAAATTCAACACTAAAGCAAAAATTAAGACAACTCATAATAAGTAATGAAGTTGAGTAAAATCCAAAATGAGAAATGAAAAAGAAAGCAATACACCTTATAACGAGGGTCGTCATCATCAACATAGTACTCGTGCATAACCCATTCAGTCTTGATCTTCTGCTTAGGAGAACCACCACGTTTATAGTAAACATAATCTTTTTTGCCACCGATCCGGTTGCCAGTACTTTTATCCCTGACTTCACGATCGTTACCTGTTTTTTCCCAGTTTCCATTTATTGGTGGGCTTGTTTACCCTTTACGTTCTATATGGTTCAGAGAAAAAGGGCCACGCTTGTTCATCGGAGTTATTTTTGAAAGTCCTGCATCACAATTAAATTCACATAAAAAACTGATTTATCTGACTAACTGATTATAGATAGCTTGAATCCACTTACCGGCAACTCAGAGGAGTCGAGCTTGAAGTATCAAGTTCATTAATCTCGTCGGGTACAGAAAATTCAGGATCAATCCTCTTCTTCTTGAGGAGAACGGATGATCTCTATTTCCAGCTTACGGCCCATGAATGCTACAAGAGAGGCATAGATTTCTGATTCAGCAGAAGCAGTGAGAGGAGAAATTTAGGGGGGAGTTTATAAAAAGACATTTGAAGTTACATTAATTAAAAGGCTATCAGTTTTAAAATGTTAACTAATAGGTATATTATTGATTAAGGGTAATTAGTGCTTAATTAAGATTAATGTAATCTTTTCAAAATTATACATATTTCCACAAACCCGAATTGTTGCAAATAAACCCAAAAACGTTCTTCTTTCTTCCTCCGCCATTAACGCATCTCTACCTCTGCATCTTCTTCTCTCTTCTCTTGGCTCTCTATCTTCTCTTCTTCTTCTTCTTCCTCTCCTGTATCTTCTTCTTCCTCATTCCTCTATATCCTTGTTCCTTCCCGCCATTAACACTTTCTTCTCCTCCACCATTGACATCTTCTCGGCAAAGATCCCCCTCCTCCTCTTCCTGACATTTCGTCTAAGTATGTGTATCTCCTTTTACATTTATATTTAGATTTACAAAGATTTAATAATGGATGGGGTTTGGGTTATGATTTTGATTTAGTTGTTTAGGTTGTTGGGTTGTGTTTGATGTAATACAACTTGAAAGGAGTGAAATTTGTTGAAAATTTGTTCTGGGTATTTATTTTCTTGGGTATGATGGATCGATTGTAGTGGATGGAGACTGAAAATGTGCTCTGGGTACGATGGATCGCTTAAGCGATCTGGTGTATCGCTTAAGCGATCCGGTAGGTCTGGTAATGCAGCAGATAGATCGCTTAAGCGATCAGGTATGTGGCTATGATCGTTAAGCGATCTGGTTAAAGTCTGCTGTATGGGAGCCGATCGCTTAAGCGATCAGTAATGGCATAAGATCGCTTAAGCGATCATGGTTGTTATACTGGATCGCTTAAGCGATCCAGTATAATAACATGATCCCTTAAGCGATACATCGACCAAATATGCGAATGTGCAGTCATTCTTTTAAAATATTTGAACCCTTAGTACAGCATTTAAGAATATTGTTTTTCTTGCATTACAGGTAGTTGGTATTATTATACATGTGACAAATTGTTTGGGTGTTGAATATTTTGGTGAGTGGGTAGAGGAAGAAAGTAGGTGGAAGTGGATTGGGAAGAGCAAAGAAGTTATACCAATTGCTGTGAGCACAGAGGTTAGTTTTGATGAGTTGATTGATGAAATAATTAGAAGAGGTATTTGAGTTGCTCGCGTAGTGATATAGTTGTGAAGTATATTTTAAGCAGAGCTCCTGAAAATTAAAGGTACCTCCTGCTATATTAAAGTCGGATGAAAGTGTGAAGTTATATATGATTGATATGGCCGATAGTGGTTCGAGGCCGATTTTAAGGGTTTCTTATGTAGAAAAACCGTTGGACGTTGGTTCCAAGGAGGGAATAACGAGGATGTGGGCGGAGATTTGCCTGGTTTTAATTTGAACTACGAGGCCATTGATTTGTTAGCTGAAAAATCAAGAGTAGACGGTGAATTGGGTGGTGAGGGGACACATAGAAGAGGTTGGTGATGGGGGGCAGAATGAAAATGTTGAGGAGGAGGACCCCGTAGATGTTTCCACAGATGTAGAGATTCCTTTAAATACAGATTATGCAGAAGGCGTACATTGTGAGGAAGAGAACACTATGGTCGTTTATGTAGGTTCAAAGGGGCAATTGGAGCTAGTAGTGAATCGCTCATGTCTTTACGGATGGATCGGAGTTGCACATAGGGTATTTATTTGACAACAAAGAGGAAGTGGTGAGGAAGCTAAAACTTGTTGCTGTGAAAGGTAATTTTGAGTTCATCACCAAAAAGTCAAATTCATTGGCTATGAGGTTGCATGTCGTGACCGAAATTGCAAGTGGCGGATTTATTGTAGAAGGTTGGCGGAGTCAGAAAGTTTATTCTTAGCACATATACCCGTGAGCACACATGTGGTTTGGGACATATTTCAGGTGAGCATCGACAAGCGTCCGCTGATGTTATTGGCAATTTGTCAAAAGTCGGTTCGTCGAAGGGAAAGGTCCATCTCCTAAGACATTCGAGACTTGTGCGCACAGAGTTGGGATGTGCTGTTAGTTACTGGAAATGTTGGAAAGGGAGACAACATGCACAAGATTTTGTGAGGGGCACGCCGGAGCACGGGTACGCAGTATTAGAAGCGTACCGTTATATGCTTGAGTTGACAAACCAAGGTAGCAAGAGGCTTTGAAGTGGGACAGGAATATGATGTTTAATATTTTTTGTTGCTTATGGTTCTGCTATAAGGGGTTTTGTAAACATGAAAAAAGTGTTGGCTGTTGATGGTTGCTTTCTGACGGGAAAGTATGGAGGTACATTGTTGGTGGCCACTGCACAGGACAACGAGAATCACACATATCTGTTGCATGGTGTGTGGTTGACTCTGAGAATGACGAGTCGTGGACTTGGTTTTTTCAGCAGTTACGTACGATAGTGCCTGACAGTGACGAGTTGTGCAAATATCCGATAGGCACAACTCTATAAAGAAGGGGTTGCCACTATTTACCGTGAAGCACATCACGGATTCTGTATGAGGCACCTTGGTGAGAATAAAACAAAAGTTTAAGTGTGCTGGCCTCCTTCAGACATACTACATGGCAGCAAAAGCTTATCGGGTTGATGAGTTCGAGGAGCACTTCCAGCAAATCCGAATGAAGGATGTTAGAGTTGCTAAGTATCTTGAGCATGATGTTGGTTTCGAGAGATGGAGTAGAGCTTACTTTCCTGGAAGAAGGTTTGATGTCATGACCACGAACATAGCTGAGTCCATAAATTCGAGTTGTTAATAGAAAGAGAGTTTCCAATAGTTGCACTTTTTGATGCAATCCAAAGGACACTGTCGCGGTGGTTCCATGAGCGTCGTACAGAATCAGATAATTTTACTACAACCCTTGTTCCGTCAGCTGAAAAATTATTACGAGAACGTATGGAACTGTCAAATGCACTGTTTGCCTATCCTCTTAATGCTCAAGAGTTCACTGTGCGCGGCTATGGTCCGGATGCTCTAGTTAACCTTGTTAGAAAAACTGCAGCTGTAAAGTGTTTGACATTCAACGTTTACCTTGTCCTCATGCACTAGCAGCACTAAAACACCAACGGAAGCCAGATTTTGGTTCAAGAATTTACACGGAACTTTGCTCCCCTCTCTATATGACAGATCACTACATGCTAGCATATTCAGAAAATATATCCGGTGCCTCCAGAAGAGCAGTGGGTAGTGCCGCCAGAGGTGGCTGACATTATCCTCCAGCCGCCATTCAAGAAGACACCAAAGGGGAGAAAAAGGTTAAGCGTATTCCATCGCCTTTGAGGTTCCCGGAAGATGAATAAGTGCTCAATTTGCAAGCAACCTGGCCACAAGAGAAGCAGTTGCCAGAAGTAATTAGGTTCGAAGAAGGATGAAATTGAGGGAGTTGCGAAGGGCAACCATTGATGAGTTATTGTTTTCATTATTGATGTTTTATTTTTATTGCTACCTTTAATAATTATCCTTTATAT